GCGCTCATCGCCCAGGCGGCGAAGAAGAAGAAGAAAAAGTCGCGGAGGAGGAAAGGGCGCGCCGCGCAGGTGTCCAGTCCCCGCCCCAAAAGTTTCTTTTCCAGGGGGGGCTGCCTTCCAATTCCTCTCCCTCTCTTTCGTCGCCCCCCCTTCCGATCCGTATAGCGCTTCAACGCGTTGCCGAGCTTTTCCCGCCCGGGGCTCAGGGCTGGTTGACGGAGGAGGAGGGGAAGAAAAAGTCGCGGAGGAGGAAAGGGCGCGCCGCGCAGGTGTCCAGTCCCCGCCCCAAAAGTTTCTTTTCCAGGGGGGGCTGCCTTCCAATTCCTCTCCCTCTCTTTCGTCGCCCCCCCTTCCGATCCGTATAGCGCTTCAACGCGTTGCCGAGCTTTTCCCGCCCGGGGCTCAGGGCTGGTTGACGGAGGAGGAGGGGCTCCTCCAACAACCAGTCGAGGGTCGGCGTGCCAAAATGGGACGGCACTGCCTAACCTAGGCGCCACCCGAGCTCTGCGATCCCGGCCGCCTGCCTGTCTGTCCGTCCGTTTGTCCCGCCCCCTTCTCTCTCTGGCCGTCGAGGAAACTTCGGTTCAAACTAAGGACGGGACTGGGAGGAAATGGGGGGGGCGCGGAATTGGGATGTAGTAGTAGATGAACCTCGGAGGGGGGCCAGCCGAGCCCCAGATTGCCGTCGCAGGGGCGTCTTATGAGCGGAGATGCTACGTTCTTACCGGGGAAATCCATCTTACCGACTTCGATGGGATGGTCCATATCCTGTTCCAGAGACTTCGATGCCCAGAATGATTGCTGAGTTTTCCTCGCAGATGAGAGAGAGAAAAATGTTTTTTTTTTAACACAACAGGGGACATTTCCGAGGATTCTGCAACGCACGTGAACGAACGACGTGCTTTCACAAGCGTTGCGGAATCCCGTGTCAGTTTGACACGAGCGTGTCTTTTCTCTGGCCACCGGTTCACACGGGAATGGCTCCGCAGCCGATCCTGAATGGTACCCTTTGGAAAACTGGGCGTGGGGGAAACGGCATTGAATACGACTTGCTTTGGCAAATAAAAAACCAACACCACATTCTAAACATTTCCGTGGATTTGCGTTCAAGCCCTGATTTCGAAGTTTTGATAACTCTGTTTCAAAAACCCGTCAAGTTAATAACATAAAATTACATCTGAAACAAAGAAAAACTCCGTTTTGGTATCATGAGCATTTCCTTACTTTCCCCGAGGTTTCCATATTTTCGAGGAGGGGCTCCGTAATTAAAAATTCGTAGCCCGACTGGAAACAATTCATTTGTTTTGTAACACGTAATTAGTATTGTTTTCGTACCAGGTCCTGTTCTTCTTCTCTTCTGATAGAATTTGCCTTCAGATATTACGGTCTTCTTTCAAGATTTTTAATTAGCGCAGGAAATACAGTTAAATGACACCAAAGAAACCCCTGTAGAGTAGATAAATGAAGACTAGAGTTTTGATGAGAATTAATCAATGAGCTACAAATGCATCTTTATTATCATTAATAACAATAGCATCTCACACTCCTCCCTTTCCTTCTGCTGAATAGCCAAGATGCACACTCGGATGGGATTTAAGTTAATTCTTGCTGCTTGCGATGACATGAGAGATGGCAGTCTCAATAAGTGCGCAAAAACACTTGTCTGAGTAAAAGCAAGCGAAATATTGATTCATAAAATTACATTCTACTGGGGGGAAATGATAACTTGAACGAAACGATTAAAAAATAAAAATTAGAAAATTAAGCAGTCGTTCTGGTTCTCCTTCTTTGCTATCCCCCAAGAAATAGATGTACACTCTAGATAGCCGTAATTGAAATACAGCACTCGCATGTTTGAGCAAACCATAATTTGACAGTATTTAAAAGTACATAAGATGCCGATGCTTTCACTTGAAGAAAATAATATAGGGCTATATTAAGACTCTCCGCTTAGTAGCGTGAGCATCATTTGGGCGCAGTAATATTGTGCTTGTTTGTGTACATTAAAATAATACATGAATTTTAAGATTGGGGGATAAAAGCGTCCCCGTGTTCCACAATGTGCATCTGAGAAAAACTCTCCTCCCGTCCCACTGCGCCCGTGGGCATCCATGGGTTTCTTCTCCGAAAACTATTAAATGTACTGTAGAGTTTTCTTAAAATGGAGTCTCAAATCTAGGAAACAGTTTTAGGAGGCAGTCTTGAATTTGGATTAAGCCCCGTGAGAAATACTTCGTAGAGATATGGATTAGGAAGACGCTGTTAACTTCTGACGACCACAGTGCATCTGAAAACACCATTAATAAAAATCCAACACCACCGCTTCGTTTATGGTTACTACACTTGATTTCTGCTTTTGGGAGTTGTTTTATTTGTATCTATTCCGACCACGATGTCGTCAAAATTAAGCACTTGTCAATAAGTGAAATTGGTGTTTTAATGGTGGCGTTTTGACGACCAGCTTAATTCCTCGTTCTACTTTTTAGATGGGAAGTCTTGCAAACAGAACGAAGAGTGCTGCGCTATCTTGAAGACGATCGTGTTTTCTTGGCTTAAGCTTTCCTGGACTGCAGCCCGCTTCAGGTGTAAGCGACCTACCATCCATTAAAGTATATACTACAGTACTTACAACTTGTGAGCCTTTAACTGTACCACAAAACTTGGTTTCGCAGAGCTTGGAAACGTTGGATGATGCTTTCGGGTCCCCCCCTCGCCCCCCAAAAAACCCGCTATACAAATAACCTTCTGCTTTCGCAGTTTAAATAAGATTGATGTTGTTGTTTAAAATTTGTAACGCGTTCAGGACTGGTTTTCTTCTCCTTTTTAAAAAAACAACAACAAACCATTCGTCCTGCAAACCCGACGATCGATTTTAAAGCCACCTTCGTTAAGGACAGGAGAGAAAAAGGAAAGTTTGAGGTTGGGTGAAACCTTTATTTAATCACTAAGAAGCTACAAGTAAGACGAGATTCCGAGTTCCTTGTTTGTAACTTTTTAGGGATCCGATAGAGAACTTGCTCAGTCTGGGACGTCGTTGCTGTAAATAGATTATACCGCAATATACAGATATAGGTATAGGTATGTTGGTTTCGGTATTTGTTGTAAGAGGGAAGGGAAAGTTATAGACAATAATATTTCATTCCTGCTGTTGTGGAACAGGTATTTATTGAAAATATTTTTGACGGGAGGGAAAGAATCTTCATTTCGACGGGTGACTTTAAATTAATTAATAAACCCTTTAATTTAAGGCCTGCAGGACAGTTAATGGAAATGTAATTTCTATTTAAATCGCAGGCCTGTTTCCAAGAAAGCTTTGGTGTTGCAGCAGCAAAAGCGCGTTTAGCAAAGACCGTGTGTACCCTTGAATACTTTCACTGCAGTGGGACGGGAGGAGAGTTTTGGGTACGATCCAGAAAAAGTTGAGGAAACCGTAGCCACGTTTCTTTAACGGCAAGGCCCATTCCGTACTTTGGGACTTTAATTTTGAGTAAACGCGCGAGATTGTTTTGCGCTGTTCTCCGATGAAAGCCAAAAGAGGTTAAAATAATGTTGGTCGGCTCGTCCTTTTCTTTCCTTCCTTCCTTCTTAATTTTTTTAACGGACAGGTGGAGCATGTACACGTCCCGTTTCCCCGCAAATGAATTTAACACTATTAACAGAAAACTGTCTTTGCTTATGGGACGGCCCCCATTTTTTTGGGGGGGGCACGGTAAATTCAAACTGTTCCCATACAGAAACGTGTGTTCGAAGTACTACAGAAGAGATCGCCGTATGAAATAAAATATAATAAATACGTTAAGTAACGAGGCCGTAGAAACGACTTTTGTCAGTGCAAAGCAACGTCCTGTTCTTGCAGTCTCCAGGGCCCTGAAGTTTCGGTAGATAGACTGAATGTTGTAGGTCTAAGTCCACGTTTTCTTGTTTGTTCATAAACCCGGTTATGGGGCAGGGAGGCGGGAAGGAATCTCCTGAAATCGGTGAAACGGACTCCATAATCCCTTTCCGTGTGGAAAAGAACGCAGAGCCCCCTAGAGGTCTTTTTCGCTCATTACAACCAACGGCATTCCCATCAGTGCTTCCAGCTCCTGCTGCTTTTTAAGGAAGGGCGAAAGTGCCCAGAAGCATTTTTTTCTCTCCACACAGTGATTCCTGAGCCTATCTTTACCGTTTAAAGGGCTTCTCATTTTAATTATTTCTAGCCATGCTCGACAGCTGCTTTGTATTCCGAAATACAATGCTAGTTCATTCAACATTTCATTCTGTTTCCATATGTCTGACAAAGTGGACTTGTCCATGAAAGCCCACATTAAAATATAATAGCTAGTCTTCCAGGTATCATGTGATTTTGGCCTTTGTTGTTGTTTTGTTTTACAGTATTTCTTTGGATTTTGCCTGAAATATAACAAATAGCTGTTGTAACAGTCGAGAGCCCAGCCTAGTAGTCAGAGTGTTGGAGTAGGAGGCAGAAGGCCCCGATTCATATTTTAGTGGTGCATAACAGCAGCAACAAATTTAATGGCAGTTGAAAGGGTGGA